ACGCACACACACACACACACACACACACACACACACACACACACATCCACACACACACATCCACACACACACAACCTCCTAAGACGACAACCAGCCACGGGTACCAACACTACATGCACCACCAGCGCCAACACACCTCCTGGTCGCGGATGATGCCGTAGCCAGGCGTGCCGATGGCGCCGTTGCCAAAGATGCCAAAGCGGTCTGGGCACGTCTTGGGCGGGCACTTGTGCAGCACACGCGCCCGACCAATCTCCCACGTGCCGTTGCAGGGGCAGCCGTTGAAGTGGTTGTTCAGCAGCGCCCGTGAGGTGTTGTCAAACACCTCTGCAACTGTCTCGGTGAAGGTGATGAGGATGTTGCGCGCGCCGGGGACGGTGGTGCTGTTGCCCATGTCTGTCCAGTAGCCAACGTCGTTGATCATCATGGACGGCTCGCTGGAGCACCCGCTGCCGTGCTGGTAGCGCAGCCGCTCCCGCGTGATCACACCCGTGCCCTGTGTGTATATGTGTGTATATGTGTGTATATGTGTGTATATGTGTGTGTGTGTGTGTTCGTGTTTGCGTGTGTTTTCGTGTAAATGTGTGTGTGTGTGTTTGCGTGTGTTTATGTGTGTTTGCGTGTGTTTGTGTTTGTGTGTGTGTGTGTGTTTGTGTGTGTTTGCGTGTGTGTGTGTGTTTGTGTGTGTGTGTGTGTGTGATGGAAAACGGAAGGAGTGTTTGCGGCGCAGAGGCCCACACAGTCAAGCTGCAGCTGCACCACCACCACGACCACGACCACCACGACCACCACTCCTAAGGTGTTGGACGAACGTGACCCACGACACGCCAAACACGACACCACTGCATCACAACGCACCACAGTGCTTCACAGTGCATCACAGTGCATGGAGTTGCAGCCTCACCTCTCCCTGGGACGGGTCACCGGCACTGCCTGTGATAACCAGGCTAATCTCCTCGTCAGCGGCAAGCACGCCATGGCACTTCTGGTTCCACGACCCGCAGATCTCAAGCACAGAGTCGTAAGGGTACTTGCACGTGTCCTCAGAGAGAATGTATGGCTCCTGCAGGTCGCCGGGCCTCTGCGACTTGGCCTGGAACGGCGTCGACACGACGGGGGTGCGGCGCAGCTCAGGTGTGGAGTCGTTGCGTGACACCGCATACATGTTGCCGTGGAAGGTGCCCGCTGTCAGCGTCTGGTTGTTCCAGAAGTCGACGTTGCACTGCTCGAGGGTGCACGAGGTGAGGCGGCGTGCGGTGTTGGTGGCCCACAGGTCCTGGTTGCCGCAGGGGCAGTCGTGCTTGAGCATCTTGGTCGCGTCGTCCGTCAGCGGGCGCACCAGCATGAACGGCGCGTTGTATTTCACCATGTCCGCACCCTGTAGCCGTTGTCGGCGGTGTCGCGTTCGAGTTGTTGTGGTGTGAGAGTGTGTGTATTGTGTGCGTGCGTGTGCGTGTGTGTATGTGTGCATGTGCATGTATGCATGTGTATGTGTGCGCGTGCGTGTGTGCATGTGTGCATGTATGTGTGTGTGCGTGCGTGCGTGCGTGTGCATGCACGTGTGCACGTGTGTGTGCGTGTGCATTGAACTTTGGGCATGGGCAAGCTGCGGTGCAAAGTGCACAAACGAGGGTGACAGTGGAGCAAGCGGGTGCCAAACACACGTCAATGTTGATGTTGACGCCGTTGGTCTCAAAGGTGGCCTCCGTCTCCACGCTGAACATGGGGGTGGCGCACGCAGAGTCGGCGTAGTACGTAGTCTTGTCCTTGTAGATGCCAGACGCATACAGCTGAGGTGCATGGCGTGTGTACAAGTGTGCGCGTGTGCCGGGGAGAGAGGGAGGAGGAGTGGGTGAGTGTGTGGGAAACATCACAGAGGGAAGGAGGAGAGGACGAAGGTGTCCCCATCAAGCATGCAAATGCATGTACAGTGTTATATCTCTACCATCAAAAACACATCAACAAACATACACACACGCACACACACACATACACATACACACACACACACGAATGAAAGAACGGCACAAGACAGCAGCGCGCTGGCCCTGTGTGCACTGGCGCGTACGCACATCAGCGACGGGCCCCTCGTAGACAAACTGGCCGGTGCGGGCCATGGCGCCGCTGATGAAGCTGGGGCTGCAGCGAAGCGTCCACACGCCGCAGTACGACTGCCGTGGTGTCGTCGCTCCACACCCTGGCACACGGTGGGTTGGCCGGCAACAGACAGCAGTGAGAAGAGACGGGTGACAGGGAGGGCGATGTTACACACACACACAGACACACAGAGAGACACACACGCACAAACACACACACACACACATACACAAAAGCACAGCCACACGGACGCATACACAGAAACACCACGGGGCACCTTCTGAGCGTGTGACAGTCTGCCAGGTGTCCTGCCGTGTGAGGCCGATGCCGGTGGAGTAGTCCGCATCCAGGAACGAGATGGTAATCTCCTTGTCGTCAGCCTGGTGACACGCGCAATGGCGGGAAACAAGGGAACATCGACAAGCCCTGCATGTGAGCTTGGGAGAGGGAGGAGAAGGGGGGAGGGTTATCACTAGCACGGCACATGGGTTGCCACGATGGGGGTATACAGTGATGCAAATTACGTACGGAGGAGAAGCCAAATGCCGGGTTGCCGATCTGGATGCCTTTGGTGTTGGCACCAGTAAGGCCGCCGACCCAGTCGGTCGTGTCGCACGTGCCTACACATGCCATGTATGCATGTACGTTGGTGGTGTGTCAAGGGGGGGGGGGGCAAGGCATGTGCACCAAAACAGAAAAATACACACACAATGGCAGATACACAAACTCACACAATGGTAGCAAAACAAACACACGCGCACACACGCGCACACATACACACGCACGTGCAAACACACGCACGTGCAAACACACACACACACACGCGCGCGCGCGCACACATACACACGCACGTGCAAACACACACACACACACACACACACACACACACACACACACACACACACACACACACAAACACAACTGGCGAACCTGGGACGCAGGCGGTGAGGGCGCGCTCCTGACCCTTCTTCCACTTGCCGGTGCAAGGGCATTCGTTGTTCAGCTTCTGCACCCACGCGTCCGTGTTTGGGGTGACCGTCACCTCGGAGTACGTCACTTGCCAGTAGCGGCCCTGCAGGGTCGTATCGGAGTGAGGGCATGTGGCAAGGTTGGAAGACACGATGCAAAAGGCTCAGCCACAAGGCACTGAAATGCACAGAGTGGGGTGCATCGCGTTGTTGCAGAACGAGACCACCACGACAACGGCTACAACGATGACCACCACGACAACGGCCACACCATCACCAAATCGACGACCACAATGTCCAAAACGAGAATGACCAAGAGCATCCACTACCACAATGAACAACAACAGGTACCACGACGACCACCACCACCGGCAGCTAAACCGCACGACAACTCATCGCCCATGCACGCACCACGCCAGTGTCGTTGCCAAGATCCATCCAGTGGCCGACAGCTTGAATTGAGACATCCTGTGGCCAGCCACAGATGAGGACAACAAACGCACCACACATTCAGTGTTTGGTATGGGTGGGACGTGGGACAAGCACATGAGGGTCACACAGGACAACGCTGCGGTGCGCATTATGGGCTGGTAAAACAGAAGCAATGACGCGCGTGTCTCTCATAACCTTCAAACACGCGTTGCGTGTGGAGTGCACGTACCGCAGAACTGCAAGTGCCGTCGGAGAAGCGCTCAGTGACAATGAGAATGTCGCCAGTGTATGCCCCACTGATGACCATGCTGGTCTATTGCCATTTGTTTGTCAAAAACGCTTGGGTGAGAACAAGGCCAGATCCCACCCATGATGCACACACACACACATCCAGCTGCCACCACAGACATGCACGCACTGGTGCTGGCACGTCACGTGGCAAGTTGCACGCTCGATGCGTGCACCAGCACAACGAGCACACGAATGCATGTGACAATGCCACAACACATAAACACACACAAGCAAGCACTGACCGAAACTTTGTCGTTGCCGAGGTTTTGGCAAGTAGACTCGTACAGGCCGCATTGCTCTGGGTCGGCAGCAAAGGCAGCCATCGCAAGCGAGGCCACCAACGCGACCGCAGCAGTTGCTCGCATCGTCGCGTCTCACGTCAACACAGGGAAGGAAGCGGGGGGGGGGGGGAAGGAGGTGCACAGCAGATGAGTCAGTCAGTGGCGCCGAGGAGTGAGAGAGCTGGCTGGCTGGTGTGTGTGGAGATGGTGGCTGCGCCGAATTGGCGATATCTTGGCATATTAACCAAAGAGACGATTGTTTGAAGATTTGCATGAATGTTCAGAACTTGCTGAATTTACTTTTGTGGTGTCGTGCCCATGGATGACTTTGATTTGAGGGAAGAAGAAACGGCTGTGCTGGCAGAGGCGAGGCGGGTGCTGCGAACATGGCAGGATACCCAGCACAGGTCACCAGCGCCCACATCACGCACACCAGCAACTCCGCCGTGGTCGACGGCAAGGCAGCAGCGATACGGCACCCATGACAGCGCTGCGCATGTCAGCCGGCCGCCAGCAAGTGGAGACAGGTCCGCAGTGCGCAGACAGCACGATGACACTGCGCATGACGTTGGCATGGACGTTGCTGTGGAAGGTATCGTCGCCCACAGCAGCGAGGACGGCCCGCTGCGCCTGTTTTCTCCTGGCCGAAAGACGCGGCGGCATCGCACCATAGACTCTCCACAATATGGACATGACAGTCCGCGCTTCTCCAGCACAGAATACGGGGCAGTCTTGCAGCGACTGCGACAAATCAAGACCCCGTTCTCTTCGGACGACGAGGATGGCTGCGGGGACGAGTACGCAAGCATCCGTGCTCATGGCAGAAATAGGCGTGATGAAGGTCACAGCCGACACCAACGCCATCGACATGACACTGAGCGACGACGACGACACCACCACAGCCATCATCACCGCCACCATCTCCAAGGGGATGAGTCCCCGACTGCTGAGCGACATCGCCACCGCCATCACCGCCATCACCACCACAGCGATAGGCACAGCAGCAGCTCCGACTACGTGCACTCAGCGGACGCTGTTCGCCGTCACTTGCTGGCTGTTGACATTGACCTCCCGGATTCAGAACAACAGGCCTCCTACAGCAGTAGGAAGGAGCAAATCCGCAACGCACACGACGTATGTATTTTCACGACGTTGTCATTGATGTTTTGGGGTTTGTCGTTTGTTGTTGCTGTCGCAGTGCATGTGTTCATGGGGGTGTGGCGGGATCCTTGTACTGGCCCTCCATGTATTGTGACTGCGAGACATTGCCTGTGCTGTAGCTCTGAACGCCGTGTGACCACTGTTCGTTCCCTGACTGCTGTTGCACAACGTCTTGGCTGCATGTCTTTCCCCTTCAGGCCAAGGAGCGGCGACGGCAGCGGGCATTGCAGCGGGAGGAAAAGAAGCGCAAACAGCTCGAGCGAAAACGATGCGAGCGCAAGCAGCAACAGGTGTGTGTACGTGTGTGCTACATGTGTGTGTGTGCAGAGGTTTACGCTGTGTGCTGCATGTTTGTGTGTGTGTGTGTGTGTGTGTGTGTGTGTGTGTGTGTGTGTGTGTGTGTGCCTCAAAGGTTAAACACTCACGTGCCCCGCTTTGCCATCCATTGGGGCCTGTCGTTCCTTTTGTTTTGTTCCAGCGTAAGGAGCTTGAAGCGCAGCGCGAGCGGGAGCTGCTGAAGCAAGTGAGACGAGAAGCAAAGCAGGTCGAGGCGCAGCGAGCCAAGGCGTCGCACCGCAGAAAGGTTGGCCTTGGGGTTTTGGGTGCGTGCATGTGTGTGTGCACATGTGTGTGTGCGTGGTGTATGTGTGTATGTGTGTTTGTTTGCGAGTATGCGTGTGAACGTGCGTGTTATCGGAAACTCCTCCTCTGCGGTTTTACGCAGTCATTGCCACGAAGACGCCTCTCACCCACGCCTGGACTGCATTTTCAACTCGTGGCCGACATCGCAGACGGAGCGGCGAGCACGTGTGCGACGCGTTGATGAAGAGCAGAAAATGCAGCAGCAGCAGTTGCAGCAAGCAGCAGCACCCCCGCCAACGCAAGAGCAGGTACACCCACCGAGCCTGGCCATGCTTGTGGACAAGTGTGAACCCACACACACACACATCTGCCACATCTGTCACATTTTGCCCTTGTTTTGCGGCTGGCTCACCACCACCACCGCCGCCACCACAATCACAATCACTATCTCCATCGCCATCGCCCTACCCCTGTCCCGGTTTCTTCATGTCAGGAGCGCGAGCACATATTGATGCGGTTGGCAGAGACTGCCCTACGTAACCGCCTCACGAAACTGCTGCACCGTTGCTTCAGTGCGTGGTCCAATCTCTCGCAGTCAAAGCAGCAACTTTTGGACCGGTGAGTAAAGAAGATACGCGGAGGGCGCACGGTAGTAGCTTTTGCCAGGAGCAAACACACACACACACACACACACACACACACACACACACACACACACACACACACACACACACACACACACACACACACACACACACACACACACGTGCACATAGTTGCTCACAACGCCCATTCGCGTGCAATCAATTGCCGTGCAGGTATGTGGCGGTCTCACACAGGAAGACGACGCTTCGGTTCTGGGCACGCTGGCGACACGTGTACAGGCGAAGGTACTTGCTTGGTGCACATGTACGCATGGTGGTGCATGTGCTCTCTTTCATTCTTCTCTCTTGCTGCCTGCCTGCATGTGTGCCTGTATGTCCGTTGCCATACCTGCTATTGTGTTTGTTGTTTTGACACTCTCTCCTCGCTGCTGCTGCTGCTGCTGCTGCTGCTGCTGCTGCTGTTGCTGTTGCTATTACATTGGCAGGTTACAGCAGAAGCGAATCGAGGAGGAAGCAAATGCAGCACTGCGGGCTGAGGTGTCGCACTCGTATCACATCACATACTCTCTCCACACACGTGCATGTGTGTGTGCGTCTGCATGTGTGCATGTGTGCATGTGTGTGTGTGTGTGTTTGCACATGTTGACTCTCGCGTGGACGCATGTAGAGAGCCACGGCCTTGCCTCACAACCTCGTCAGTTTCCTCACCCATGAACAATGCCGACGACAATGACATTTCATCGTCAACGCAGAAAAATCTCACGCGCGCGCTCGGGCACTACCGCTCCGTTCTCCTCTCAAAGACCATGGACGCATGGAAGGTGCATACATGGCTGTTGTGTGTGTGCAGATGTGTGTGTGTGTGTGTGCAGATGTGAATGAGAGAGAGTGTGTGTGGGTAGATGTGTGTGTGTGTGCAGATGTGAATGAGAGAGTGTGTGTGGGCAGATGTGGAAGCTTGTGAGTTTGAATGTGGATGCTTGTGTACGTGTGCGTACGTGTGCTGCACTCATCGCCACGCGTGCCACGCAACCCTGTCGTCACCGTGAATGACCAACACCATTCTCACTGGCTTCATCACCCCATTTGCCTGCAATATAATCGCCACCTCTTTGCCCACGTGCGCCTGTATCCCAAAGATCTGGACGCGAACACAGCGTGCGATCACAAAAGAGAGGGAGGAGCGACGTGCGCGCATGGGAACGTTCCTTGAAGGTGCACGTGAGCGCCTGGCACTGCAGCAGGGTGGACCACAGCAATACTCGCCAAGGTGTGTTGTGTGTGCGCTGTGTGCATTGTTGTGTACATGTATTGATTTGTACGTATCATCTGTGCACGTATGGCGACCAGAGCTGATGGAGGCATTATCGCGTTGTTGATGTGCTTTGTTTGCGCGAGTTGAAGTATCCCTGTCCACACACACACACACACACACACACACACACACACACACACACACACACACACACACACACACACACACACACACACGCACGCATATGCATGTTCTGTTTGTTTGCAGGAAATCTGGAAGTGGGGTTCAGGTTCGAAACCGCGATTTAATGATCATGAAGAAGGTGAACAACACACAGAAGCAAGGACGCCCCCTGGCCACTGCCTTTGCTGTTGTTGGTTGCTCTGCCATGTCATGTGTACGTTCGCGTGGTGCCGACTGCATGAAGATGTCGTTGATCTCGCCCATTGTTTCTCACGAGCAGACACATGACACGTTGCAGGTGCAGAGCGGGACGTTGGACGCAGAGCGGGGACTTCGACTGTTGCGCGCGGCGAAGCATAAGCAGACACGCACGCGTACAGACACGCCCGCAGACACGCACATGCAGAATCAGCAACAACAACAACAACAACAACAACAACAACAGCAGCAGCAGCAGCAGCAGCAGCAGCAGCAGCAGCAGCAGCAGCAGCAGCACGGTTTCCCCAGCGGGAACGGTGTTGACGCAAATACACGCGCGTGTGTGCAGGACGTGAAGCTGTGGCGCACGAGCGAAGAGTTTTCAGCACTTAACGGCGCTTGCAACGACACCGGTGACGGTGATGACCGACAGCAGAAGCAGAAGCAGCTGGAGGAGCTGGCCACAGCAAGGGATGTGGTGGTGGAGCCTGGCACAGGCGAGCAGCAGCAGGAGCTGCAGCAACTGCTGATCGAACAACAACAACAACAACAACAACAACAACACCAACAACAACAACAACAACAACAACAACAACAACAACAACAACAACAACAACAACAACAACAACAACAACAACAACAACAACAACAACAACAACAACAACAACAACAACAACAACAACAACACCCAAATGAGGAGGAGTCAACAAGACGACAGCAGCCGTCGCACCGCTACTTTCTCAAGGGAATGGAGGAGCGAAAACGCCAGCGAGAAGCAATGCGAGCGGCACGCCTGGCAAGACAGCGGGAACGCGAGGAGGCAGCAAAGGTACATGCATGCATGTGCGTATATGTGGGTACGGTTGCGTGTGAATGTGTCTGCTTCAAGAACATGGAATGTTGTGCATAGCATGTGGTCGTGGCCAGACATGTGGTTGTTCCCAGCACATGACTCAAATGGCCGGGGGGTTTTTTTTTTTTTGGTCTGCGTTCATGGTTGCTGCAGAGGGAGGAAGAAGAGCAGCAGCGAGCAGAGGAAGAACAGAGACAACGGGAGAGACAGCGACTGATACAGGAGCAGCGTGAGAAGCAAAGAAAGCGAAAGGTGCGCATGTACGTGTCTACCAACCTGCCTGTCTGCGCGTGCTGTGCAAGTTTGCACTTGCGTCAGTGTGCTGCGGTGTGATGTGACATGATGCACATCTGTTCTTGTGGCTGTGCAGGACAAGGAACGACAGCAGAAGGAACGGCAAGAGCGAGCAGCAATGTTGCTGGGTAAGCACCCGATTCATTCCGCCCTCTCGCAGTTGTAGCTCCATGGCGCTCACGTCAGCAACTGTTTGGATGGTTTGCACGCGTTCACAATCGCACCATTACTTTGCCCGTGCATTCACGCGCTGACGCACTTGTACACACACGCACACACACGCGCGCACACACACACACACTCACACTTCCCCACCTGTTTGGACACAGCGAAAGCGACGGCTCATGATCGGGTGCGCACGGTAAAGTGGTACGGCCTTCGCGCGTGGATGTCCTTCCACTCTGCTCTCAAGAAGCAGCAGGAGCACGCTGCAGGCCACCACCACCGCCACCTGTTGCGCCAGTGCTGGGACAAATGGGCGAGTGCCCTGGAAGCGCGCCACGCGCAGCAGCAGCAGATGGCGGACAGCCAGCGGCGTGAAATGCTGAAGCGACGCCTTGTCAAGTGCTGGAGAGCAGCACTGAAACAGCAGCGGGAGCGGTATCGGGTCGCTGATGGGCGATTCCATGCAAAAGTAACGCGTCGTCTTCTTGCGCGCTGGCGCGAGCGAACAAAGCAGGAGCAACAGCGCATGCTCCACTTGGAGCGATTGGCCACACACATGAACAACCGGTATGAACCGGTGGGAAGTGGCTGTGGGCGATGTTGAGTCCTCTGTGTGTTGCACTGCATCATTCCTTGCGATGGCCCCAAGCGACCGCTGATTTGAGTGCATGTGCGCGTGTGTGTTTGCGTGTGTTGTTACCCGTATTCTCACTCAAACATGTGTATGCGCGTACCCACATGCACAGTCGCCTGAAACAGACAATGATCCAGCATTGGCTGATGCTTCCAGCGGCGATGCAAGAGGTGACAGCATTGTAGCATGCCTGCAGGCACTTTGCCCACGGGTACAAGCTTCCATTCACTCGACTCTTTGCTTGTACTCGTGTGTAATTTGCTTTGCTAGCACTCAACAACTCCACCGCCACCATCACCATTGTCTGCTGTGCAGGAGCAAGAGCGCGAGCAACGGAAAGCGGCACTGCGAGCAAAAGTGGCCAACTGGCTGCCGGACTACAAACCGCCGCCGCCATCTGGAGGAGGAGGCGCCGCATCACCACAACCGTGACGGCTGCTTCTGCTCGTGTGTGTGTGTGTGTGTGTGTGTGTGTGTGTGTGTGTGTGTGTGTGTGTGTGTGTGTGTGTGTGTGTGTGTGTGTGTGTTGTGTGTGTGTGCTTTTGGTATTGGAGATGTTACTGCTTCGGTGTCACATCACATCGTTCCACTCCTGCTTGATTGCAATGTGTGCCATGTGTTCAATGTGCGTTCGCTGTTCATTCATGTCATAATATTTGCTGCTGTGTGGGCATCTATAAGAAGCTGTAACCGTGCAGACATGCGATTGAAAAACGCAACCGGAATGAAGAAAGAAAGCGGGGAGGTCAAAGGGAAAAGAGGTCACGTCAGGAGGGACGGAAGGTGGTAACTATGGAGAGAAAGGAACAGAGAGGTGCCACTGCAGCAGTGCACACTTGACGGGCGGTCCTTGAAATATAGAGACGCCCGCACATGCGTGTGTGTACGTGCGTCTACGCGGTCGCACGCTGTCCGCCACGCAGCAGCTACAACAATCCAGCAGTCGCAAAAGGGCAAGGCCAGGCGACAAGGCAAGTGAGGACAGAAAGGGCTGAAAACCAGACAGTTGCGGTCTCGCGCATACACACCTTACAACGTGAGGGCGCACATACAGACGCGCACGCACACATACACACATACACACACACACACACAAACACGCATAAACACACACACACACAGCACACACGCACAGAACACAATGTCGCAATAATTTCATAGCACCAAAATACATACCGTGCGGGTAATGTTGAGCACTGTGGCGCCAATCGAAAGAAGAATACCGGCATACACGGCAACGCACAGGCACAGGAATCCAACAACCGCACCCGCCATGCGTTTCACACGATCCTCCGTTTTCCTATCACAGCACACAACCGACGACAACAACCAGCAAGAAGCAACGCAACATGTGTGTGTGTGTGTGTGAGTTGGCGAGAGGGTCCGAGCGAAACGTAAAAGACAGACTAATGAAAGTACCATCGATGTACTTGGGAGCTGTCATCGACAGTGACTCTGTGCGCTGTGGTAGTGGCTTGAAGAGTGCCCAAGAGACAAACACGTGCATGCACAAGCAAAAGCCTAAAAACATACGCACACGCACAGGCAACACACCTGAAGATGTTGGCGACGGTGGAGCGTGCAGAGGCTTTGATGGACCGCACTCGCTGCTTTGCGTGTCGCACGGCAGCGTTGGGCGTCACGTGCGCTGCGCGCCTGTAAACCGTTACGAGGATGCAGGATGGCGGAATGCCAACAACGTGGAACAAGGCATAAGCATACGGCACGCAGCCAGAGCAATGTGCTGATGGAGCGTCAAGAGCATCAACGCAGGGGCGATGTTGCCACACATCACAATAGCACCAACACGCAGGTGCAAGCATGGGCTTACATGATGGCGGTGCTCAATGTATCAATCAGAGACAAGAGAGCGTCCTTGGCAGCCAGTACCCAGTTGTCCCTGGCAATGGCAATCTGTTGTGCGAGGACGGTGCAGCACACCGAGCAGTAACCGATTGGCAGCGGCGAACAAGAAGCAGGTGGTCAGAAATACACACGGCGTGTGAGCTTGTGAGCACATGATCGCTTTGTGCATCAAAGTAATCGCGGATGGTTCGGAATCGCAAGCAGTTGCAGAGGTGAACCATTGGCAGAGAGAAAGAACGCCCCCCCCCCAAGTGCCTTTACAGAAGGTTCGGAACCACGTGCAGGGGGAAAAAAACACACACACACAGAACTTTGACATTTTTCGCGCCTTGTACAGCCAACAAGGAACGCACCTTTGCAAAGAGTCCTGTATGCGAGTGCATGTGTGCACGACACGGAAACAAAAATCACGAGATAAGCAAGCGAAATTGTGAGTTCAGTCAGCTGGTTACATGGGCATGCAAAGGCCCGCAGATGTGCAGGGTGTTATAAACGAAGGCACACATGTCACAGGCAGAGGAGTAGATGCACGCAATACCAGCAGAGTTACACGCACCACGTTGGCCTTGACGCTGCTGTTGCTGGTGTTGCTGGTGTTGTTGTTGCTGTTGACGCTGCTGTTGGTGTTGTTGGTGTTGTTGGTGTTGTTGTTGTGGAGGGTGCTCAGTGACGAGTCTTGTTGTCAAAGTTGCTGAGGAGGTGGTGGTCATGGCGCGTGCAACCTCCATCGCCTGCTCTTCCTGCTGCGCGTCTTCTTCATCCTCAAGCTCTGTGCGGTGAAGCGTGCCTGTGAGCGCGCCAATCACAGCGGTGGCACCCAAGATGGCCACGTGCAGGCCCAACACAAAGAGGGCAGCCAGGAAGCCAAGCACGCGGGTGAGCAGTGGCACGGGCCGGGTCCTCGGCTTGCGGCGGTCCCGGTGGCGGCGGCCACGATGTCGGCGGCGAATGTGTGGGTGGCGGGAGCGCGTGTCTGCACCTTCGCCCTCGTACATGTCCAGCTCCGAGTCATCCAGCTCTGACGAACCAAGCCCCGTGTGCGTGGTGTGCGTGTTGTTCAGCGTGTTTGCATCGACATAGCGCAAGTGCACGTGGTGGTCATTGCCAGAAGGTGCGTGAGGGTGCGTGACCACATAGTATTTCCCAGGCAACCATGACCGCCGCAGTCTATGTTGCAGTCTATGTTGTTGTTGTTGTTGTTGTTGTTGTTGTTGTTGTTGTTGTTGTTGTTGTTGTTGTTGCTGGTGGTGGCGATGATGGTGGCGATGATGGTGGCTGTGGAGCTGTTGTTGTGAGCGTGCAATTAACGCTGAGGAGGCACGTGCGTCACGCGTGGCTGTCACCGAGAGAGCTGGTGCTGTTGTTGCTGTTGTTGCTCGTGGTGCTGCTGGTGCTGGTGCTTGTGCTGGTGTTGACGCTTCTGATGGGGTGGGTGCGAGTGGAGACAAGGCAGGCACAGCACGCGACTGACCGAAGTTGATGAACTCGGAGGATCCGTGTGAGGCAACCGAGGACACTTCCCGAGTATCAATGAGGTGTTCATCTTGATCATCGCGGCGGCGGAAGGGAGCCGCGGACGAGAAGGCGCCGCTTGCGCCCATGTCGTCAATGTCAAAGTACTGCATCTTGCGCGAGGCTTGCTGTGCTTGCAGGTTGATGGGGGACGTGTTGAGAGGCGGCGTCTCGTCTTGCACCTCCAAGCTGACATCCTCCACATCGACTTGCTCTTCCCCCTGAGCGGCTGTCGTCGTTGCGGCAGTGGATGCTGTCCCCTTGAAGTGGCGGGCTTCTTCTTGTTCTTGTGGGCTGCGGCTGCCGCCGCCCGTTGGCGTGTGCTCGTGACTGGACAAGAAGCCAGACTCGTCAGACAAGTAGTTTGATCGTCCGCGCTGTTCGGGCGTCATCAGCACAGGCTGTCCCGCGTGTAGGACGTCCAGCATGGCCTGGGGGTCTTGGGGACGGTGTGTTTTCGAGTGCAAGACGGCTGCATTTCCCGTGTTGGCGTTGCTTCGGCCTTTGCCAGCCGTGGTTGTTGTTGTTGTTGTGGCTGATTGCGCGGAGATGACAGCTCCTTCCAGCTCGTTTTGGTTTTGGGTGAGCGGGACCTTGGCGCGGTGGTGGGCGGTGCCGTGGACACTTTGAGGGTGCTGCATCTTGTGCATGGCGTTGTTTGTGGCTCGCTTGCTCATGTAGTTAACGAGCTCCTCCAGTTCAATGGTCTTGCTCTGTATCGAGAGAGAGAGAGAGTGTGTGTGTGTGTGAGTGTGTGTGAGTGTGTGTGAGTGTGTGTGAGTGTGTGTGAGTGAATGGGTGTGTGAGTGAGTGGATGAAGTGGGTGAATAGCAGAGACACACAAACAAAACACAGATGCAGGCACAGATGCAGGCACAAACACAGACAGAGACACAGCTTTGCGTGCGCTTCACACCTCTAGTTGCACCTTGCTTGCCTGCAAGCAAGCAACACTGACCTGATCAGCATCAAGGACTTGCCACAAGTCATGCCAGCCCATGTCTCCGAGCAGTTCTTGCTTCAATTCCTTGTTCTGAGCACAATATGAGGACAGCAAACATGAGGACAGTGGTGGCGATGGAGGTGACGGGGAGGGGAGCAACAGCAACAATGCAACACCAACTACATAGGCATTCCAAGCAAGTTTGTACTCCTCACCCTCTCACAGGTGGCTAACCTTTTGCATGACGCGCTTGATCTCTCGCTTGGAAAGGTGGCCATTGCCGTCCCTGTCGGCTTCCTGGAACACCGCCCTCGCCCGCACATCAACCGGTTCCGCCATGGTGGATGGATGGAGATCAGAAGTTTCGCGTGCGTGTCTTCACAAGAGACAAGGTTGGTTGGTGTTGGTTGAGCAAGGCAGCGAGAAATGGTGTGCGCGAGCAACAGCCACAGCACATGCAAGCAAGCAAGTGAAGCAAAGCAAGAAAAAAAAAAAACTGCCTGGTTTTTTGGACAACAGCATGATTTATTGATCACCCTGGTGCTTGAACCCCGCTTCTTCTCGCTGCGTTTGGTGCGAAAAACACGGACCGCGATGATGCGAGGAAGTGGGCGACGCGTGGGTGCGCTGTTGGCGCTCGGGGCTATCGTGGTTGTTGGCTGTTCCGTGCTGCTCTGGACTGGGCTCACCAGCGAGGATGGCGCGTGTCCGAGACCAACCAGCGTCCAGGACGGTGCGTGTGTAGGGGGGTGTACGCGTGTGTACGTTTGCTTGCGTGTTTGTGTGTGTATGTGTGCGTGTGCGTGTGTGCGCGTGCACATGTGCGTGTGTGTTGGTTGGCGCGCTCTTCGCCAATTGTGCATATTGTTTGACTCTCGACGCACATCTTGTTCACGGGTTGCTGGGCAACGGATCCAACAGTGTTGCGATGCATGGACCTGAGCGACCACGTCACTGTGGGATCGCTGCCATCAAGCAAACGTGAGTGACGCCTCGCGTGCTTGCTTTTTGCGGCTTGACGGACCATTCACATGACCTGAAAAAGCACACACACACATGCACACATACACATACACATACACACGCACACACACGCTCTCTCTCGCCTGCGGCGCCATGTGCAAGCTGCTGCTGGCGAGTGCTTGGTTCATATGCATGTCACGTGCACGTGCGATATTATGATGCAGGGAAGCTGGCAATTGGAATTCCAAGCGTCTGGCGCTCCGGCATCAAGAAGAGGTACATCACAGACACGCTACACAGCCTCTTGGATGTTCCAGAGAGGCATCTCCTCAAGGACATCGTCGTCGTCATCCTCGCCGCAGATCGCGACCCTCTCCTCCGCGAGAAGGTGCAGGTGGTGTGTGCGTGTGTGTGTGAGAGAGAGAGTGTGTGTGTGTGTGTGTGAGTGAATGAGAGAGAGTGTGTGTATGTGAGAGAGTGAGTGAGTGTGCGTGAGTGCGTGCGAGTGAGTGAGTGCGTGAGTGCGTGTGCGAGTGAGTGAGTGTTTGTGTGTGTGTGAGGGACAATCTTGTACTTGACTTCCCTTGCCTTGAACCTTTGTTTCTTCGGCCTTACCTTCCACTTCTCCCTTGACAACCATAATTATGTCCGCCAGTTGAAGTTGACCATCGCCACAGAGTTCTCGCACCATGTGCATGCAAGTCGTATCATCGTCATCGAAGTATGCTCAGCTGCAACCAGTTGAACATGTCCATCCTTGCTGTCTGATGTCCTGTTGTTTTGTTGTGTGGTACTTGCTGTGCTGTGTGTGTTGCATTGCTTGTGAGTCGTTTTGTTGGATTGCTGCACGCGCGCGCGTGTGTGTGGGTGCCATCTTGGTGACGCTGCCGTGTGACCTTGTCGTGGTTCAGGTCCCTGATGCGTATTACCCGCAGCTCTACCACAAGAGGAATGACTACGAGGACTCACAGGCGCGGACGATTTGGCGCCAGAAACAATGCGTCGATTACAGCTTCCTCATGGCTTTCTCCGCCCGTCTCGCTTCCACATATCTCCAAGTAAGAAAAGAGCACCCGTGTTGCAGATGTCTGGTGCGCATGTTGTCTAGCTGATGATGCAAACCGCACGCCCTCAGTCGACATCAACTTACGCAGTGCCTGTACACGTGCGCGTGCATACGGGTTGCAGCTTGAGGATGATGTGAGCGCGACACGACACTATTTGCCGGCTCTCAACGCGTTTGTAGATGCATTCCCGCAGGTTCGTCTTGTGTGATGCAACTTGCAAGCAGCTGTCACACGTGCACAGTCGCACACAGCCACATGCACCCCACGCCTTTGATGCATGCGTGCTTCACTTTCACATACACACACGCACGTGCACACACACTAACACACGCACACACACACTAACACACACACACACACTAACACACGAACACACACACACACACACACACACACACACACACACACACGCACACACACACACACACACACACACACACGGCGCACATATCATCTCAACACGATGCAGGCGGTGATGCTTGAATTCAGTACGTTGGGGTTCATCGGCAAAGCGTTTCCCTCTGCAGACCTCCCGGCACTGGCACACCTCTTTCACGTGAGCTTCAACCTGTGTCTGTATGCAGGATGGTCAGGGGAGTGTGTTCAAGTGCAGACGAGCACACGTGTATGTGCGTGCAAGAATCGTACACAAGAGGATGGGGATTGTGTTGGAGTTCTGTCATATCGCAAGCTGCTGCTGCTGTCGCTGACGCCTTGCCCCCACCTCCAACATGCGCGTGTGTAGACATTCTATGCCGACGCTCCGGTGGATCTTCTCCTGCAATACTACATTGCCATTCAGAACCGCAAGGTCACGAACACACACACATACACACACGCACACACACACACACACGTACACACGTACACACAATCACACACAATCACAACCACACACACACATACACACAACCACACTCAATCCAGTATGTGTTTGTTGCGCGCTGCCCTGACAGAATGACGTCCGACAGCGCCAGCCACCGCTGTTTCAGCACGTGGGCACACGCTCGTCCCTCAGCGGAAAGAGACAAACGGCGGTGGAGCCGAATTACGAGCTGGAGTACGACCTCAAGCGATGGAGGGCCGATAATCCACCGGCAGGTGCGTTGTTTACACAGCTTCCATGGTCATGTGTCCGTGCAGTGGGCTGTGTTGGTGGTATCAGACAACCTTAACATGCCAAGATTTGGCCGCCGTTGTTTATTTGTATTGCTGCCCTGGTATCCGGTTCTCGTGATCGCCTTCCTCACCCATTTGTTTTCCGACTGCGGATGTCACAGAGGTGACGAGCAGCATGACGCCAGCGTTCTCCTCACTTCCCATCGACGCATATCTTCGTGCGCCCGGGTTAGACTGCACGGTTGTGGGCACTTCTTGGTTGATGCAGTGAGGCACTGACAACAACCCAACGTCTGTGGTCCTCTGTGTGTGTGTGTCTGTGTGTGTGTGTGTGTGTGTCTGTGTGTGTGTCTGTGTGTGTGTCTGTGTGTGTGTCTGTGTGTGTGTCTGTGTGTGTGTCTGTGCGCCCCGCATCTAGGGGGCCCATCTATCTTTGTTTCTAACCGTGTATGGCTGTGTGCTCACGCAAATTCATGACGTCGCTCACTCTCGTCTCTCTGTCTGTCTCCCTCTCTCCCTCTCTCTGCAGCGGGTTCTGGGCGGCGGCGGTGCAAGATGGGGACGACCTGACCATCGCTTTCACTCGGCCCGCACGCGTCATTCACATTGTGAGGGGAATTGTTCGTCGAAATACCATGCGTGCGTCACACACATTGCCTGGTCTTCTGCTGTCCACCACGTTGCCTTACACGTGAATACGACGTGCGCTTTTATCTGTTTTGCCCCTCAATTGGCCAGCGTGTGCGTACAGGCACAAAGGAACACAACAGCGCCGACAGACTCCAAGCCGGTACGCGCTCTTGTTTGAAGGATGAATGGTAGTAGCAAGTCCGCTCATGTTCAACAATCACGCACACATACACGTGCACACACACACACACACACTCGCACACACTCGCACACACACGCACCTTTGCCAATTGTCCTTATCATCTGCATGCACAAATGTTAGGAGAGCTGCATGTGTTGTTTGAAGGATCAACGCGATCAACAATCCTCGCAGCTTTCGATAAAGGCATCGCAGAGGTGAGACTGTTTGATAGTTACGCTTGTGGAAGCTATTCGCGCAGACCACTGTTGTTCCGGTTCTTAAGTTAATACGACAACAGAGAGAGAAACAGAGATGCGATGGCGTTCTGAGGCACTGTGGGAGGTGAAGAACACGAACACCTTGTTGTGTCAGTGCTCACATCGCTTCCTGCCGCGACTGCATTGGTGGTTGTCCCGGACCTTCAGGCTGCCGTGTCACACAAGCGCCGCGTGTCACAGGTGAAGATTATCAGCCGAGCAATCCACACAACGTGGGTCATGATACAGGAAATCGCCGTGCTCGTGCACAGCTCTTAATCAATTCAAGCGACGCTGTGTTGGTGAGCACACTTGTGCGCGCGGGCATGGGAGAGTGTGTGTGTGTGTGCTTTGTGTGTGCTTTGTGTGTGTGTGTGTCTTGCAGGTGCGTGTGCTTTGTTTGTTTGTGCGCATCGGAGTATGTGTGTGGTGCCTTGGCTGACGTGTGGATTTCATCGTATGCGTGTGCCATGTCTCCCTAACCTACAGGTGTACTGCTGAATCAACGCACACGTCACATGGAACCTTCCAGGCAAAAGGATAATACGAGAACCATAGTCAAACGCCGAGCAGAGACGCCACGGCGTGCTAGCTCTCAAGACAAGCAGCGCTTGCCCATGAGTGCAATGGAGTGCGAGAGCGCGAGAGATGAGAGAGAAATGAGAAATGAGAGTGAATGAGAAATGTGAGGAGGAGGGAATGCGCTGATGCAGACACACACGGGTGCGTGTCAAGAGTTTTTTGCTGCTGCTGTTGTTGTTATTGTTGTTATTGTTGTTGTTGCGGTGAAGATGTCAGGGAGCGGGACGATGATGGCGACGACGATGAGGATATGGTAAACGCCGCTGTTGGGGCAGTGGCATCCAATGTATCATCTTCGCTGCTGTCACTCGTGAAACCGGTGCTGTTGTCGTGGTGGATGGTGTCATCCTCGTCGTCCATGCTTGCCATGAGCTTGGAGTACACGACACCGCGTGTTGCATTTGCAATGCGCCTGTTGCGCTGGCGCCAGCACTTCTTGACCGCCTCCGAGGCAACTAGAAATACAAACGCAGCTCCCGCCATGCCAGCAGACACGCGGAATGTGAAGCGTGCGCCGTGCACCTGCAGGCATCCGTGCACACGTGTTGGTGGTGATTTTGAGGTGGGGGGGGGAATGAGTTGAGACCAACGACCGCACATTGCAGTGCATCGGCTGCGCACGTTCTCGTGTGTGTGTGTGTGTGCGTGTGTGTGCGTGTGTGCGTGTGTGCGTGTGTGCGTGTGTGTGTGTGTGAGTGAGTGTGTGCGTGAGTGTGTGCGTGTGTGTGGACACGTACGTCGTAAATTGCACCGCCAATGAGCGCGCCGAGGCCCTGGCCAAGACCAAAGTGGAGCCCGCCCAGAATGCCTGCACGTACGCAGTGATGGAGAAGTTGGCAGCACACAAAGTGCAGCAAGCGAGCTTAGCACAAGCTGCCGCACAGCGCAGCGCAGACAGCAAACACGTAGTCCCGTGGAACTAGCTCAACAACAACAACAACAACAACAACAACAACAACAACAACAACAACAACAACAACAACAACAACAACAACAACAACAACAACAACAACAACAACAACAACAACAGCAACCACTTACCCTGCATGGTTGCGCCAAGGCCCGGGGGTGCAATGTCTGCGGCGTACTTGGTGGATGTCGCCCACATGATGGCGAATGTGACGCCGTGCAGCGGTTCCGAAGCAACAACGAGCCAGGGCGAGCGCATCAGGCTAATCGAGACACGGGGAGGAGTTTGTGCATGTGCATGTGCATGTGCACGTGTATTGTGCACGTGTGTATGCGTGTGTATGTGTATTGGAGGGTTAGAGGAGAATACATGGTGACGCCAAGTCCCGGAAATGAAAACAGAGAGGAAGAGGAAGATTTGTGCACGCGATGACGTTGAGACAAACAGTGCGGACAACATCGTCCCCCCACCCAACACACACAGACAGACAGACAGACAGACAGACACACAGACAAACAGACACACACGCACACACAGACAAACAGACACACACGCACACACAGACAAACAGACACACACACACACATACACACGTGCGCGCGTACCTGTAGATTGTGAATCGAAGGACGTAGCAGACGAAGGTGAGCATGAGACAGCCGTTCACGCCAAGCTTGTTCATGATGTACCCAGAGAACCAGAATAGCGGCACCTGCAAACATGGAGTGGAATCAGGCAGTCGGAAGCAAGTCAAGTCAGTTCAGCTTTGCAGCGTGATTGGCAGGCGAATGCACGGACACCTCCCGCGGGCTATGGGTGATCATCAATCCCCTACCGCATGAAAAGTCGCCCTCCCATTACACACACACACACACACACACACACACACACACACACACACAGACACAAGAGACACAAACTTACATTCACACACGCACACACATTCACACACACACACACATTCACGCGTACACACTCACACGCGTACACAATCACATTCACGCACACTCACTCACATTCACGCACACACGCACACTCACTCACATTCACGCACACACGCACGCACCTCCGACATGCAAGTGACGAAGCGGCCGAATCCTTGAACGGTTTCTGATCCGCCCAGCTGCTGGATGAAGATGAAGAGAAACGTCTCAATGACACCAACGCCAAAGCCGGCAACGACAATGATGAAGAAGAACATCATCGTATTTGCGTCCTGCACAATCACGCGCAACGCGTCTACGAAATTTGGCTTCCGCCCCCTCGTGGCTGTTGGTGTTTGTGTTGTTGATGCTGCCGTCTTCGTCTTCGTGTCCATGTTCGTCTTCGTGTTCAGTATTGCTGCTGACAATTTGGTGGTTCCATTGGTGGTCTCGAAGGGCTGGCCTTCTTCATCGTTGTGGCAGTTGCCCCCATCCACATTACCGCTCCTGCCATGCGAATGGCTTCGTTGGCCTGTAGCTCCTCCCTCCACTCGCATCTCTTCGTCGTGGCTGTCACGGTCACCACCATCACCACCACCACTACCATCGTTACCTCCAGCGCCAGCATCGCCAGCATCGCCATCAGCAACACCGTTCGCACGGCTGGCGTCACCGAGGGCCTCTCCCACCAGGTATTCGTTCTGGCTCTCGCTGGGTGTGGCGGCATCACTGCTGTCGGTCGAGTGCAGCTCATGGCGGCCCTTGTGTGCATTCTCGACCATTGCCCGGGCCAGGAAGATGCCGAGCCCTGTCAGGATGGCGTGCTGCAGGTACATGGGGAAGAAGGCCTCTGTGGAGTCGATGATGGTGCCGGAGAGGAACACCATGAAGCCAAAGCCTATGGCACCCCACAGCCGCTGTCGGCCGTACAAGGTGCGGTCCGGCAGGACTGCGAAGACGCCGTTCTCCAGCAGCGGGCCCACGCCGGCGCCCACGGCCTCGCCCACGATGATGGTGAAGGTGAGCGGCACGAAGCCTTCAATGGCGAGGAGCGAGAAGCGCAGAGAGACGGCCAGCGCAGCCGCCAGCACCAGCACGCGGTAGTGCCTCCCCGTGCGGTCGGCCAGGGCGGCAATCAGCGGGCTGCCGAGGAACTTCGACATGGGGCTGATGAGCCCGATGGTGCCAATCTGGGTGAAGGTGAGCCCCTTTCGGTTGTGCAGGAAGAGCGGCGTGAAGGGCATCATGGAACCAAGGCCGCCCCACACCAGCAAGTACATGAGCTTGGGCTGCACCAGCGACTCGGGCTTCTTGGCGTACTCAATCCAGCTGCGCACCACGTGCAGCAGCGTCTCCACACATCCTTGCTTCACGGGCAGGGCTGCAGCTGAAGTGCTTCTCTTTGTTGCTTTGGTCTTGCGTCCTTTCCGCCTCCGACCCGCTGCAAAGCCATCTGCATTGCCCTCACCGGCGTCGCTGCTGTCGCCATCGTCGCCCAACAGCATCACGTCATCGTCATCATCATCATCATCATCATCGTCGTCGTCGTCATCATCACCGTAGTTACCGCCGTCGCTGTTGCTGTCTGCAAAGTGATGGGGCTGTGTCGATGGTTGTGCTTGCAGCAGGTTGTCCTTCAACGGAGCCTCTTCTTCCTTCCTCTTCTTCCTTTTCTTCTTCTGGCTCTGCTTCTTCCTCTGCCTCCTCCCTTCCACATCATTCCCATGACCATTGCTGGTCTGCGCCATCATCAACACGGGAGGCGACGCCGCATCGCCCACCACAGCGCCGTCATGCGCATCAGCCATCGTCATCCTTCGCCTTGTCCTGCAACGTGCGTTACGGAAAATTGACTGGAATCATAAACGATACTGCTGCGCTGCACTGGCAAAGATGACAATGGTGGCGGTGCGCGCTTCTGGTGTTGTTGTGGTTGCAGTGGTCGTGCTGGCTGCTGCTGTGGGCGTGCAGGCGCGTCCCGGCAGCAAGGGCATCAAGCCATTAATGGGCTGGAACACATGGTGGGTTGGAAATGGATGGCATGGGAAGCGGTGTGCATGGGTGAAGCGGCATGTTTTTTGTTTGTGTTGGTTGTGTGTATTTGTGTTTGTGTTTGTGTTTGTGTTTGTGTTTGTGTTTGTGTTTGTGTTTGTGTTTGTGTGTTTGTGTTTGTGTTTGTGTGTTTGTGTTTGTGTTTGTGTTTGTGTTTGTGTTTGTGTTTGTTGTTGCTGTTCGTGCGTGTGCGTGTGTTTTCGTTTGTGGTGTGCTCATGTGTACTTGGAATGTGTATTTTGCATGGCATTGTGTGCTTGCCACCCAAACCCGCATTTGTTGCTCAACATTGTCACAACAATGTGGTCATGCGCATAGGTGCACGCAAAACAAGTGTGGCGTGGACTGGTGCACGTCTGATGAAGTGCTGGACGTCGCCAAGACCATCAAAGCCAGCGGCATGCTTGCAGCTGGTTACGACCACATCAACGTCAGTGTGTTTTGCGGCAAGCAATGGCTCGCCAACAAGCTTTGTGTGTATGTGTGTGTGTGTGTTTTTTTTTTTTTGCATTGGATGTTCCTTCGCGGCAACATGTCAGCATGTTTGTTGTGTGTGATCGGGTTGGGGCTCTCTGTGTCTCTCTGTCACTGTCTCTCTCTCTATGTGTGTGTCTCTGTGTCTCTGTCACTGTCTCTCTCTCTCTCTCTGTCACACACACACACACTCTCTCTCTCACTCACACACTCTCTGTGTCTCTCTGTGTCTCTCATCTGTCTTCATCTTTATTTTTTGGATCTTGTGCGTGCGCTGCAGTTGGACGATTGCTGGGGCCTGCGCGATCCAAAGACACATGAGATCAAAGGTGACCCAGTCCGGTTTCCTGAAGGCATGAAGGCGTTCATCAAGAAGATCCACGACCTGGGCTTCAAGTTCGGCCTTTACACTGGTATCAACACACTGGAGCGAGGGCATGGGGCGTGGCATTGTGTAAAAGAACACGTTTTGGAACCGTCACCACGAGTCACCATACGCGCATCTAAACATTCAAGCACACACACACACACACGCACACGCACAATGTTTCTCTCCCTCTTTCCCATCCACCCATCCACTCATCCATGCATACATACACAATCACAATCACACATACGCAAACGCGCGATCACACATACGCACGCACGCACACACATTCTGCTGCAGACTTGGGCGCGGACGCGTGCCACTCGCCATTCACGGGGAGCTACCCCTACTATGCGCAGGATGCGGCCACATTCAAGGACTGGGAGGTGGACTACGTCAAGTTTGACGACTGCAACCTGCCGGACGGCCACACCAAGGAAGAGCTGTCATGCGACATGTCATCTGAGCTGCTCAAGACGGGGCGCGACTTCTGGTTGTGCTTCCACTGCGACTGGAACTCGGACACGTGCGCCAAGTGTGGCACCTCCTTCCGCATCGCCCACGACCACCACGACGAGTGGGACAGCACCAGCAGCATCATCGACGTCCTCGCCCACAACCGCCAGCCATATTGGGGCCCAAACCCCACCTACGGCCTCCCAGACCCAGACTTCATCTTCACCGGTGGGCAGGGCTGCGGCGCGCACTCCCCGCCGGGCACGCGCTGTCCTGGGCAGACCGAGGACGAGTACATGTCGGAGTTTAGCGTGTGGACCATTGCCGGCGGCTCCTTGCTGATAGCGTCAGACCCGCGCAACATGACGGACTTCATGGCGCGCGTGTGGTTCAACCACGAGATTCTCGCCGTGTACAACGACAGCGCCAGCTTGCAGTCTGTTCGCGCCATTGGCAACGGCACCCTCAGCCATGCCCGGCACACGATGCACCTGCATGCACAGCGCAAGCAGGAACAGGAACAGCAGCAGCAGCGGCAGCGGCATGACCTGAAGCCTTTGGCGTCATGTGCGTTGGAGAAGCAGCTGTCGCACGACCCGTGTGTGCAGGGCGTCTCATTTGGCTGCAACGGCGACGAGACCATGTGGACCGATCACGGTTGCCGCGGCATCTTCACGTGCGATGGCGTGCAGGATGTCACCTGCAATGAGGATGGCAGCGGCAAGCACACGTGCAAGTGCGTCACCACGCCCCCGCCACCATCCATTGTGCTTGCTCGCCCGCTGTCCGACAACAGCACGGTCGCTGTTGTCATCCACAACGCCGCCATGGTGAACCAAACGCTTGGCTTCCACTTCTCTGCGGTGCCGGAGCGCGCGTGGAACAGCAAGACGACCTTGCACGTGCGCGACCTCTGGCGACACGCCGATCTTGGCAAGGCCACGGGTTCATTCTCGACTTTTGTTCCTGCACATGGCTCCGCGTTCCTCCTCCTCTCCCCTGCATCATGACTGCATGTTGTTTGGTCGTGCGTGAGCGACGGATTTGTTTTTGTGTGCATTTGATTTGGCGCCTGGGGACTGTGCACTGTACTTGTGTTCTTGTGTTTGCTTCACACACACACACACACACACACACACACACACACACACACACACACACACACACACACACGCGCGCGCGTTATTCCGTCTTCCCCGCCATGATTCGGCCGGTCTGCATGCACACTTTCATTTTTCCTGCCTGCCGTCCATTGAGTTACACACGTGCCATCAGTGCAGTGCAGTACAACGAAGGAAACGACACACGCATGTGCATTGGTCACAAATCGCCAACGCCCACGGACAAACGAAAGAGAAAGAAAGGCAACCAAACTCAAGCTACTCAAAACATAAAGGGCACGTGTGAGTTGCAAACACACACACACACACACACACACACACACGCACACACACACACACACGCAAACGTTCGCTAACGTCACAAGCGTGCCAAGCGAAGAAACATCCTGAAACATGCAAACACTTACGCAGACACGCTAACGCAAATTCATGCAGACACGCGAACGCAACCACACACACACACACACACACACACACGCTTACGACCGCTCGACCGAAGCTAGACTGACAACACACAAGACAAGCAAATGGACCGCTAATCGCAGAAGCCCAAGTAATCTATCGATCAGCACTCTGCAGGGCAGTTGATGAGGGCGATACCATCGGCGTTGTTGACACAGACCGCAGTAAGGCCGCCGCAATCCACGCTGGTGAGGGCGGCGTTGTCCTGGAAGGTGATGCGTCCGCCCACAGTGGCCACGCTGCCAAAGTTGATGCTGGCGAGGGCGGCATTGGAGGTGAAGGTGATGTCTCCAGCCACGCTCGTGATGCCGCCAAAGTCAACGCTGGCGAGGGCGCTGTGGCGGTCAAAGGAAACAGAGCCACCCACAATCTTGATGTTGCCAAAGCCAAGACTGGTGAGGGCATTGTTGAAGAAGAAGTTGACGTCCCCGCCCACAGTGGCAACGCTGCCAAAGTCGACAGTGGTGAGGGCGATGTTGACAGTGAAGCCCACGTCGCCAGGCACGCTGGTGATGCTGCCAAAGTCAACGCTGGCGAGCGAGTTGTGTCGGTCGAAGGAAACGGAGCCGCCCACGGTGGCGACGTTACCAAAGTCGATGCTGGGGAGAGCGTCATTAAGCATGAAGCTGACGTCGCCCGACACGGTGGTGATGCTGCCGAAATCAACGCTGGTGAGGGCGTCGTTGTCGTCGAAGCTGAGGTAGTCACCCACAGTGGCGATGTTGCCGAAATCAACGCTGGTGAGGGCGCCGTTGTTGTCGAAGCTGATGTAGCCCTGTACCGTGCTGAGGCTGCCAAAGTTGATGTTGGTAAGATCGTTGCCGTTGGTGAAAACGATGTACTCGCCAACGCTGGTGATGCTGCCAAAGTCGACGCTGGTGACGCCCAAGTTGCTTTGGAGGGCCACAAACGACCCCACGGCTGTGATTCCGCCAAAGTCGACGCTGGTGAGGGCCCAGTTGTCCTGCAGTCGAATGTAACTGCTAACACTGGTGATGTTGCCAAGAGTGAGGCTGGCGAGGGCGCGGTTGTCGTTGAACTCAATGGCAGTGTTCACGCCAGCAACGTTGCTCAAGTCAACGCTGGTGAGGGCATAGTTGCGAGAGAAAAACACGCCCGTACCCACGCTGGTGAGGCTGCCGAAGCTGACGCTGCTGAGGCGATTGTTGGCGAAGATGGAGATGCCTTCACCAACTGTGCTGATGTTGCGGAAATCGATGCTGCCGATGTTCGCGGCACCGCTGACCCTGAGCGACGCACCCACGGCTGTGATGCTACCGTAGTCGATACTGGTGAGGGCGGCGTTGTTGGTCACCTCCAAATTCCCACTCACACTGGTGATCGCGCCAAAGGCAGCGGAGGCGAGAAGGTCATTGCCATCAATGAACACGCGCCCGCCAACGTCCTCGATGCCAGCGCAATCAACGCTGGTGAGGCGGTCGTTGTTGGAGATCTCAATGCTGCCGCCCACGCTGGTGACGCTGCCAAAGTCAATGCTGGTGAGGAGGCCGTTACCGGTGACGTCAATGGTTCCGCCCACGCTGGCGACGTTACCCAAATCGATGCTGGGGAGGAAGCCGTTGGTCCGAAAGTCAATGTTGCTGGTGACGGTGGCGAGGTTGCCCAAGTTGACGCTGGTGAGACGGCCGTTTGACCTGAACTCAATGTATTCGCCAACGGACGTGACATTGCCAAGGTCGACGCTGGTGAGAGCACCGTTGAAGGTTATCTCAACGTACTGGCCAACAGTCGTGCCGGTCGCGCTGGCGCCGAGGTTGATGCTGGTGAGGCGGCGATTTTGGTCGAAAAGGATGTGTTGACCCACGCTGGTGATGCCGCTGACGTCAATGCTGGTGAGGAGGTCATTGTAGGAGACGTCGATGGCGCCGTCCACGCTGGCGATGCTGCCAAGGTCAGTGCTGGTGAGGGCGCCATTTTCATACATGGTGATGGTGCCGCCCACGCTGGTGATGCTGCCAAAGTCAATGCTGGTGAGGGCTGTATTCTGATCAAAGTTCAAGTCTCCACTCACGCTGACCACGCTGCCAAAGTCGAGTCGCTCGATGGCGTGATCTTGGGGCAACACAAAATTTTCCACCACAGCGCCACCCTGTACGCCGAAGTCAGTCGACACCGCATCTTGCCACCGAAGACTGCCACCAACGTCGTGCAGTGCGCCGAGGTCAAAGGCAACGAGCGGGTTGGTCCTCACGTCGATGCTGTCGCCGACCGTGGCCAGCTGGCCAAAGTTGATGGAAGTAATCCGGTTGCGGGACAAGTCCACGAGGTTGCCAACATATGTGAGGTTGCCAAAGTCGACTGCGGTGATTCTGCTTGCGTACAGATCCAGCTTGCCGCCAACATATGTGAGCTGACCAAAGTCAACCGACACGAGGGAGGTGCCGCGACCCACAATGTCCCCGCCGACGTACGCCACCGAACCAAACTGCAGCGAGGTCTCTGCCCTGTCCACCGTGACTGATCCCGTGACACGCTCCAGGGCGTAAAACTCGTCACAACAGCAGTTGATGACAGCGAGCGCGGCGCACAGCCCAGCCCGAAACTGGAACCGGGAGCCAAAGTCATCGCAGTCCAGGGTAGCTGTTGGTGTTCCGGTGCAATCCGTCGTTGTGGTGGTGGTTGTAGCCGTGGATGTGGTTGTTGTGGTTGTGGTTGTGGAGGGGGCGACTGTTGAGGCTGTTCCTGTTGAGGACGCAGGACTCACTGTCGCGGTCGCCGCTTGCGTTGTCGTCGTCGTTGTCGCGCCGGTGTTTGTCGAGCTGCCACCAGCACCCCGACTGCCACTCGCGCTGGATCCGCTGTTCGCCATGGACACGGGTACGGCGACAGCCACCGCGATGACGATAACAAAAAGGACGGCCAAGAATGCCTTGAACTTCCACCCATAATCGCTGCCCTTGCTGGCGCCGCTGCCTCCCCCACCAGCATAGGCACCCTCAGCGACGTTGTACGACTTGAGTTCTGCTGGAGGCGAGCGTGTCATCAACAGTGAGGGCTGAGTGCCAGACGCGGTGTTGCCGTGATTGTTGTTGTTGTTGTTGTTGTTGTTGTTGTTGAAGTAGTTGTTACTGCTGTAGCCGCTGTTGTAGTTGTTGCTGTTGTTGTTGTTGTCCCCATACACACGCAAAGCAGCAGGGTTGGCGTAAGCATGCGGCTGTTGGTGCTGGGGAGCGCTGGGAGCCGAGTTCATCCATGGGCCTGTTCCCTGCTGACCGCTGGCAGCCATGCCATTGCCCATTGCAGTCTCCGCGAAGGTGCCCTCCATGTTTTCATAGGTGTTGTGGCTCGCCATGTCGCTGAAGGTGTGGTGGTGGTCGCTGCGATGGGTGTGGTACAAATGGCAACGCCGAGCTGCTTCAATCAAGCAAGAGAAGGGTACAGGTTGTGATTTTGATTCACATCAAGAGCAAGAGCAAGAAAGGAAATCATACCGCAAGTTGCCCGTTGTATTTTCTGCTGACATGACGTCATTTCTGGCGGTTCTGGTCAGTGTCATGCCCACTTCGATTTGGTTTTGATCGTTGTGTATGTGTGTGTATGTGTGTATGTGTGTCTGTTTGTGTTGCTTGCTGTGTTTATTGGGGAAAACTCGCTGAAATCTTACACTGCTCCCAGCGCTCAAAGATGGGGAAGGCAATTGCGGCAAAACAAAGGGCAGCGGTGCGTATGGGTGAATGTGTGTGAGAGCACGCGCCTCATAGACAGAAAGAAAAAGAGAAAAGTGAATCAATAGATAGATAGATAGAAACCAAGTGCCTCGGTGCGAGGCTCATGTGTAGTGCTGCGACTGTTTGTGTGTGTGTATGTGTGTGTGTATGTGTGTGTGTGTGCGCGCGCGTGTGTGTATGTGTGTGTGTGTGGTATATGTGTGTGTGTGTGTGTGTGTGTGTGTGTGTGTGTCGGTGGGTCCTCGAGTCTAGTCGAGTCAAATGGAAAAAGAGGTCACGCACGGAGCACTCTTCTCGATCCTCGTCTGCTGCTGTGGGCAGCACAAAGATAAGAACATGAAAGCAAAGCACGTTGAACTTGTAGTGTCGCCAGCTTTATATGTGGGCATCCCCTACATTTACATTGGGTACCGGAAATACCCTTGTGCACGGTTTTAGTGCAGTTCTGCAGTTGGTAAGACACCACACATCAGAGAACTAGTGAACTCTGGGTCATTACTTCATGCAAGCTACGAGGAAGCGAAGTTAAGGAGATGGCTTCCCCCTTCGCTGACCTGAGACGAACGGAGAGGCTGAGTGAGAGGCTACAAGCACAAACACTGCACAAGCGAACCGCGCAAACACGTCTCAGTGTGTGTTCATATTCAACACGGCACAAGAAAGACTGAGCGCCGGGAGCAGTGTAAGATTTCAGCGAGTTTTCACCAAAACACAAACAACGACTGAACTGACTGAAAGAGGGTCGTACAGTCGCGCTCGTCAAGTCCGGCAGTTAATTTTGCATCACACCAATTTTGTTTTGCAAGATAACGGCACCAGCAACCACAACCACAATCAAGCCACATCGATGGAGCGCTACGATGTGCTGGAGGTGGTGGGCCGCGGCTCCTTTGGCCAGGTGTGTGTGTGTGTGTATGTGTGTGTGTGTGTGTATGTCTGGGAGTCACCCTCACCCTCTCACTCGCCCACTCACTCTCGCGTTGTGCTTCATGTGCGCGCACAACTCGCTGTTGATCGTCTTCCAACATGCCATCAAACACACACACAAATGCACACACACACACACCAAACACACACACCAAACACACACACACACACACACACACACACACACGCACACACACACGCACACACACACACACACACACACAACGCAGGTGTTCAAAGCACGCATGAAGAACACGCTGGAGATTGTGGCAATGAAGTTTATCACCAAAGCCGGCCGCAGCGCAAAGGAGCTGCGCTTGTTGCAGGAAGAGATGACCATCTTGAACCGACTCGATCACCCGCACATCATCCGCATGATTGAGTCCTTCGAGACCCCAGACGAAGTGGTGGTTGTCACTGAGTTTGCCGATGGTGAGCTCTTCCAGGTGCTCGAAGACGACCGCGTCTTGCCCATGGAAGAGGTGCGTGTGTTTGCGATACATGTGTATATGCGTTGTGCGTGTATGTGATGCGTGTGTTTGTGATGCGTGTGTTTGTGATGCGTGCATATGTGGCACACACACACACACACACACACACACACACACACACACCGCGCACGACAAAGATGCCACGTGTACTAGCAAGTGTGTGACCGTCGCGGCAGCACGATGCCAACTTCCAAAACAACCAGTGCAGAGGTGGTGCAGTCGATGCTTATTCATCCCAACAATCCACCCCCCCTGCCCCCCTTTCCATGACACACACACACGCACACACATGCACAATCCATACTGCAGGTTCGAAGCGTTTCGCAGCAGCTTGTGTCTGCGCTTCGTTATTTGCACTCCCACCGCATCATGCACCGCGATATGAAGCCGCAGAACATCCTGGTTGGGAAACAGGGAAGGGTCATGCTGTGCGATTTTGGGTTCGCCCGTGCCATGAGCATGAACACCCTCGTCCTCACATCCATCAAAGGCACACCTCTGTACATGGTCAGTGCACCTGCACCTGCACCTGTGTGCGTATGGGCGTGTGTGTGTGTGTGTGTGTGTGTGTGTGTGTGTGTGTGTGTGTACAGCTACCTGCTTGTACATCTGCGTGTGCACCTTCTGTGATTCAAGCCATCCCCACAACCACAACGACGACAACGATTTGCACCCCTCTCTCACCCACGTCCATTGCCTCCCACCCGACGTGCGCATGTCTGTGTTGTCTGGTAGGCGCCCGAACTCATCAAGGAGCAGCCGTATGACCACCGTGCGGATCTCTGGTCGCTGGGCTGCATCCTCTACGAGCTCGCTTTCGGTGTGATCAAACATCTTCATGGCGATGATGATGATGATGATGATGATGATGATGATGATGATGATGATGATGATGATGATTTGACTGTGCCCAATAAGAAACAGCCATGCACCTTGCCCACTGGGTGTATACGTGGGTGATTATGCGATCGAAGGTTGTCTGTGGCTCAACATCAACTTGTTCATTGCTCTTCACTTGCAGGTTACCCGCCATACTACACGGACAACATTGTCACCCTTGTCAACATGATCGGTGCGTTGCAAGCCTGGTGATGCGTGTTGAAGGGCGCCCACTCTCGAGTATACCTAGTGTATGAAGAAGAAGGGGTATACACCAGCAGACTTCACGCCCTGACACTGTGCTGTGTTCGTTGGTTCGCCGCTTGTTGTTTGATGATGTGCACACGTCTGCAATGACGCCGCCGTCCTCGCCAGTTGGGGACAACATCAAGTGGCCAGACACCGTGGATCCAGAGTTCAAGGTTAGCAGGCGCGTACAATCCATGGAGCCACAATGCGCACATGCAAATGTACACATGCAAAAGTGCACACGCACATGTGCACACACATCATCACCCTCCAACACACACGCACACACACACACACACATACACACACATACACACACATACACACACACACACACACACGCACACGCATACACACACACGCACACACACACACACGCATACACACACACACACCACACACACACACACACACCACACACACACACACACACGCATACACACACACACACACACACACACACACACACACACACACACACACACACACACACACACACACACACACACACACGTCCGCTGCAGGATTTGTTGACGGGACTGCTGACAAAATCGCCGTCTAAGCGGCTGGCGTGGCCCGCACTTGAACACCACCCCTTTCTGTGCAACCACGGTAACATTCACGGCATCCCCTTTCATCCGGGCACCGTGCCCCCAATCGACCGCTCGCTCGTGTCGCGGGCAGGGACCATGTCCCCACCGCCCGTCACCCCGACATCGCACCCGCCAACACGACGGCGGCGAGAGGCTGCAGCACACCACGTCGACACGAGCCAGGTCTTTCCACCGCCACCAGCATCGTCGTCGTTGTCATCGCACGCCCGCCACCCCCGACGCGCGGACAGCGCAACGCCGCGTGCAAGCTCCAGTCGCCTGAAGGACAACAACACGGCAGCAGCATCCGCCGCCAGTTCAACGTCGACGCTGCGGGGAAGCGAGCAGGAGCCAGCAGCATCCGCGTCAACAGCAGCAGCACGAGCATCGTCACAGCACGCTGCAGCGCGCGCCGTCACAGCACCGGGAGGCACGCGCACAGTCACGCCCGTGGTGGGGCTGCTGGCGGACGGAGACGACGGTGTGCGGGCGAGTGTGCAGCAGCGGTACAGCCACCAGGAGGCGCGGGCAAAGCGGCGGCAGCAGAAGTTGCGTGCAAGCAAGATTGGCGCTGCCATACGAGAGGAGGATGAGGGCGGAGAGGAGGGCACACAGCGAGCAGTCACGGCGCCGGCGGCATCAACGCGCGAAGAACGGGAAGCGCGGCGGAAGCGAAGGGAGAAGAGCAAGATGACAAAACAGCAGCAGCAGCAGCAGCAGCAGCAGCAGCAGCACAGGCAGCACAGGCAGCATGGTGACAAGGAGGAGGAGGAGGAGGAGGAAGATACGGTCAGCGGTCGCGATGATCACATCAGTCAGCAGCACCGGCGCCACCATCACTCGCGGCGGCACAAGCACGAACGCACGGACAAAGACGCAAAGACACGCGAGGGCTCCAGAGCAGACAATGCAGCGCAACAGGGGCGGGGTGGCTTCAACGCAACATACAAAGTCGGTGCAGGTGATGCTGGGGATGGCGGTAGTGATGAGGGTGAGGGTGACACAACACAACGGGAGCAGCAGCAGCAGCAGTTGGAGGAAGATGCTGACAACAGAGAAGCCCGGTTGATGGGCACGCGTGTGTTGGGAGCAGGTGACGACACGTCCTCTGTTTCTTCAGCTCGGCGTGGGTCGCGCTTGCCTGTGGCAGCAGAGATTGCACACACGCACGCACACACGCGAGGCGGTGACCGCAGACCCGGTGCGAGAGAGCGAATGGGGTCCGGCGAGGCAGGCACCCGAAACGAGAAGCAAGACACATATGATGAGCAGCAGCTGTTTGAGGAAGAAGGGATGAAGACGCGGGTGCTGCCTGCTCGTGAACGTCTTCGATCGGACATTGACATGGGCACGGCATCATCTTTGTCGTCCACACCCGTTCCCGTCCCACGATCATCACTCCATGACTCCTCCTCCCGTCTGAAGTCTGCACCAGCAGCAACTGCTGTTGATGTTGATGTTGGCGATGGGTTTGCTGCTCTGCAGGACCGCTTCCACCGAAACTTGCAGGCAACAGACATGTGGTGCGTTGATTTTTGTTTTTTGGGGGGGGGGGGAAGCTGCGTTGTGGTGTTGAGGTTGGGGGGGGGGGTGAACGGTGTTTCATGTGTGTGTGTGTGTGTGTGTGTGTGTGTGTGTGTGTGTTTGCTTGTTTCACATGTGCGTGCGGTTGATTGTTCAAGTGGACCCACTTGGTTGGATGGCGGAACAATTACAGTTTTGCGTGCTCACCCCAGCCCTCCTTCCTTCACATGCATCGGCGATGATCCTGTGTGTTGTTCTGCGCTGTGCCATCGCGCTCACCGCTCGCCCAAATCGCCTGCAGGGACGATGAGTTTGGGTCACGTGCTGCGACAACGCTGTTGACTGATCAGTCCTCCTCAACGTGAGCCGTGGTGCACACGCGATGCTACTGCCCCTTCTCCCTGTTTTCCTTCATCTGCCAGCTTGTTGTCTTATTTACCCTGCCTGCGCTTCTGTTTGCTGGCTCTGTCTGCTCCGTCTTCTTTCTTGCTCTGAGTGCACCGGGCCCCCTCCCCCATGATGCCATCACACGCGGCTTGTCCTTTGACTTATCCATCATGACACGCAATGCGTTCGTGGCGTGCTGTCTTCATCCGTAACCCATCTTTATCTTTTGCAGAGCACCCGTGACCACTGTGCGGTACATTCTGACGTCGCGCACGCTTTTCGTCCATGGCACGCAATCCACCATTTCGCTGTGCCTGCAAGCAGCGACCGCCCTGCTGCATGGCCTCCAGCAGCCTACTCAAGAAAACCAGAGCCAACCAAAACAACAACAGCAGCAGCAACAGCAGCAACAACAACAGCAGCAGCAGCAAAGTAGCGAACTCACACCACAGAGCGCAGGCAACGTGCTGGCAGCCATGTTTTGGAACACGAGCATTTGGACGAGCACGAGCGGCGCCGCTGAAATCGGGCCTGTGAGTCTCGCCACGCTATGGTCTGAGAGCGTGTGCATGTATGCTTTGCACTGTGTGTATTTGTGTGTTCTGATTGATAGGATCGCTGTGTGACGTGCTGTTCACCCCCACACAAAATACATCCATACATACATACAACAACAACAACAACAACAACAACAACAACAGCAACAACAACAACAACAACAACAACAACAACAACAACAACAACACACACACACACACACACACACACCACATGCCAACGACATACTCACGCACAACAACACATGAACTGAAGGTGACAAACGAGCTGCTGCATCGAGTGTTTGACGACCAGACGCTGCTGGTTCAGCGCCTGCAAGCAATTCTGGAGTGCAACCTCACCTCCGCCGCAGCCCACGCGCTGGCCACCGCTGCCAGTGCCGCTGCTGTTGGTGGCAGCAGACGCGGCTCACGAGGCCGTGGTGATGGCGGTAGCAGTGGTGACGGGAGCAGACGAACCAGCCGTGGTGGTGGTTTGGTGTCACCTGGTCTTGTGCTGGACGACGGGCACCTCCTCATGCTTGGCGCCGTTGTTGAAGGTCAGTGACAGCGTCGCGTTGTGGCGTTGTGGGGTGTATTATGTTCGTGTCGTGCCCTTGGTTAGAGATGGGCTGTGGGTGGCTGCGGTTCACCTGGATAAACGTTCGTCTCCCTGCTCACGCCCTTGCTG